CTGACAAATTGTAGATCCAACTAGTTGCGCTAGCAATCCTCGTGGTCGCCGTTGCCCAAGACTTTGGCAGTAAATGTAGACAAAAACCCTAAACCCTAAACCCCCGACTGTTTGCCCACAGTGCTGGAAAGTTCCCACTTCGATGTTTGCAGAAGCGCTTCCGCTCTTTAGGCGAAAAGCCGCTGTCTAAACCCAGCCCCGAATCTGAAAGAAATAGTAGGAGTCTGAAGCTCATAATTACGGCTTAGGTTTGAGGGTTGATTGACTTAACAGCGTAGCATTTAGGGTCAAGGTTTGGGGGTGCTGTGCTTGAGTTTGATGACCCCGGTATATCCAAAATAGAGTGTTTAGTGTTTTCGGTTGTTGGACAGATTGCACGGTCAACGCTTTTGGAACGAAGTAGGTTTCAGCTTGCCGGGGTTTTCAATGGAGTTCAGCTTCTTGGATGTTGGTAGATATTTCCCGGCAAGACTTGAGAAGCCAGATGAGCTCACGAGCTTGGCAGATTGCAGAGTTTTGGCCCTGGCAAAAAAAAACCGACGAAGACATATTAAGACGAATGGCTGTACAGCAAGGTCGCACCACAGCCCCGCACCCGAAACCGTATATAAGCCCTTATAAACCCTAGGCCCCAAACCCTCAACCCTAACCTCAAATCGCAACGGAAGGCTGCAGCCTAGGCCCTCAAAACCCCCACCGCAAGCCCTCCTAAACCCTAAACCCTAAACCCAAAACCCCTAAATCCCTAAACCCTAAAACCCTAAAACCCTAAAACCCTAAACCCTTTGCAGGTGTGTTGGCCGGACAAGCAGCCAGGAGGTGTGGATCTGAGTGTGCTGAAGACCCAAATCCGCTCCTCGGCTTGCCTGTCTGAACGGTTTAGGGCTTAGGGCATAGGGTTTAGGGTTTAGGGGATAGGGATTAAAGTCTGCTGTTGTACCCCCAGGATGTCATTTTTTGAATATACCTCAAATCGCATTAGGGATCCGATTATAGTTTAACATTTCTTAATTGAGGGATATTGGACGGTCTGGGTACCTAAGAACCATATACTCCCCCCAAAGATAAACCAACAAAACCAGCATCCTAAGCCCAAGTACCCAACGATTAGTACGTAGGGCATATAAGACTGGTGTGTACACTGCAGCGTTTGGAATCCCCATCCCTCTTGCTAGGACTTCCTGGGTTGAGGATCTGACGGGGGGCTCCAGAATTCTGCAGTTCTGGGGCTCACGTTACTCACTTCATGGCTTAACTTGGTGCTTCGAGGTGGTGGGAACTGAGGAATTGGGTCCTGTAGGCTGGGAGGTTGTGATCCATGGTTTTGCAGTTTAGTGGCTCAGTGGTTCAGAAGTTCAGCCCTTTGCAGTTGAGGCCCAGGGTTCACGAGTTTGATTGTATAATTCGAAGCGGTTCATGTTTTGGGTTATGGTTTCCGGGTGAACTGGCTTTACAATTCGACACAGCAAAAATCTCGAAAGCCAGACGCTTGCAGCCTAAAGAAGTTGCCTGAGGCTCCGGCGGCATGTTGCTCTTCAGCCGCACTCTGCGCCTCACAAAGCGATTCGGCAACGGCACCGACTTCGTGAACGGAAACATCTTCGGCACCCACGAGACCCTGGGTCTGTGTTGAGTGAAGCTGTCAGGCTTGTTACGGTAGGTTGTCGGGGCGGCTTGGAAGGATGCTTGAACGCAGTGTCACTGCCATGGATTAAACAAGCTGCAGTCCCCGACTCCCTGCTTGATCCAACCCGGTAAACCGTGAAGCCGTGGGTGTGAAAGCCCCAAAGCGTCTGGATTAAAGTTTTCAGGGATGGAAACCCGCAAGGCCCTCGACATCCCAATATGCAGCAGGACCTACCGCGGACAATTTGGCGTGGCGCGCAACGCTGCAGAGAACGGTAGAGGCCCTTCAGGGAAGGAACGTCCTGAATTTGACTCCCTCGGGAAATCATTATAGAGCCAGACACCCCAAACCTCAACCTTGTGGCTTTCCCCGCCGTCTAGCGCTGAATCCGAAGAGAAGTTTGTCCTTGAGGCGCAGAAGAGGCTTTATGTTTCTGCGGTATGTTAGCTTCATGTGATAAGCTACGATACATGCAGAAAGTCTTTGCGACACTGAAGACAATTCGAGGTAAACTCCTTAATCGAGGACGTTCTTTTTGAAAGGGGGGGGTTCGTATACCCGCACCAAACCCTCTTTGAAACCCCAAACTCTCTATGCCCTATATACACGCTAAACACGCTTTTTTATTTTTGAAGAACCCCCTAAACCCTAAACCCTAAACCGCTATAACCCCTACCCTAAACCCATAACCGCCTAAACCCCTAAACCCCTAAACCCTAACCCAAACCCCTAAACCCCTATAAACCCTAACCCTAAACCCTAAACCCCTAAACCCCCTAACCCCTAAACCCCTAAACCCTAAACCCTAAACCTTGTAAACCCTACAGAACCCCTAAAACCCAAAAATCTAAACCCTAAACCCCTATAATCCCTAAACCCCTAAAAACCCTAAGCCGCCCTAACACCGCGAAGGCCTGGAGCCGATCTCCCGAACCGCCGCTTCGCTGGCGCAGGCTGGGCCGAAGGAGACCAAGGAGCTCTTCGGGGGCTTTTGTGATTCGGGGCAAAAAGGGTATAAGGGTTTAGGGGTTCTATACCTGAACCAACCAGACCCCATTAAAAAGTCGGCGGATGCTTATGACACGGGGCGTTGCTTCGAAACCTCGGGTTTGCTGTTTTCATGATTTCACACATGAAGGTGATATCTCTTGAAAGCCATTCGTGTCACCACAAGCTCCAAAGAAATCCGAATGTGAGATCTCAGGAAGACAAAAAGTAATGACTGATCATTGTAGCTCGATAAATTCCGCTTGATGCGAAGATGTTTCGGAGCTGTTCTTCTCGCTGTCGTTACTTATTGTATTGGTGCTACTCCGAATCCCGTTGTATATATGCGCATGCACACAATCGCAGAAAAGTCTTGTTGTTTTACCGGTGTCGCGTCTCGACCAATAGTCCAGATCTCACCCACTCCGAATACGAACACTGGAGGTGCCTCTGGAGCACTCGTTGTAATACAGTCTGAGCTGCGACTCGTCGGCTAAGCCTAGAGGGCTTGCCGATAAAGTCTTCGGATGTCTGTGTCGAGCAACAAACCGGGTTCAAAGATTTCCTGGCTGCTTGGGAATCCTTCCATAGGGTAAGCGCTATATGATGTAGGCAGTGCAGCTTCGGCTGCAGGATCCATAAAGACCTGGCTTCCCGGAGTGCCCAGCTTGCCAACTGCGAATACCGACGAAGAAATCTGCAGGCAAATTGCGCTGCTAGGCCCCCATCCTCTGCACTGAGCCAGGCGCCCGAGCGAAAGAGTAAACGCACAAAAGAATTCAAAGATTTGCAGGCTTCCATAGCCAAGCTCATCACTTCATCATCCGCGGCGAAATTTCCATCCAGTGATTCGAACCACTCTAACAAAGTTGTGGTGAGCTCTGCTTTGTACCACGCCCCAGAAGGATAGTCAGTCGTGGCGGGCCACGAGATGAGATCCTTCGTGATCTTGTGTGTAATCGGAGGGTGCGAGGTAGCCGCACACCATGCCAAATATTTTTCAGTGATCGCATTGAAGCGCTCGTCGACATTTCCAGCGGATTCTCGCTCGGATAGAAGAGCCAGAGCCGACCCCAAAAAATTTCGCCCGATCCCCAGATGGATGGTGTGGAAAATGTCAAAGGCGTAGTGTTCCGCTAAGCGGCCCGGCGTGTGTGGCACAATGGCCATCGCAGGCGTGTCATAAAAAGGCTCTGATAGGCCCAGCGTCGAGGCCCACGCTGGTGTCTTCGTCGCTATCTCCTCGAAAGGGTACATATCCGGGCCTGCGCCGCAAAGATGGCACATGTGATTGGCGTGTTGATGTTGTTTCTTTACTGCATTCGCAAAGGTACAACACAGTTTTCCACTCTTGGCCAGCCATGGCCAATCCCCAATCGTGCGTAGAACGAACATGTTGAATTTTCGGCCTTCGCGATCCACGACACCCGTCGTGCACATCTCCTTTGCCTGCTCTGCTGCTCCAGTCAGCAGTGCATCGAAAATGCAATCGTTGTCACCATACATGTTGCGTGGTAGCACACCGGCTAGAAAGTGCGTAGTCAATGTGTGTGTCCCACCAGGTTGGTTTCGTGCTTGATGTAGGGCTTCTTGACACGCTTTCCTTTTGCGGCTTTGTGAGCTGGGTGCGACCCACGACCCAACATCGACTTAAAAGATACAACCAAAAAAGCTTGTCGCCGTCGGCCGCGTCCCTCGTCACCATGACATACCATAGCAGCCGTCCTTGAAAGGCTAATCTCACCCCGAGCTTCCATATCAAAAATAATATGATTCGGATCGATGGCTCTGTAGTTCTCCCACCAGGCTTCCCAAATCCTTTCCTCCCGAATTCGATCGGGTCGACGAAGCCCAGCGAGGAGGTGCCAGGAATTTGACTCCAAAAGATATTTCGCCCAATCAGTCAAATGCAGCATCGGCAGCTGAAAAGATTTCCCTTTCTTGGCTTTCGTTTCCACAGTACGTGATCTGATAGGTATCGGGAGGCTAAGTCCAAAATGGTCTACCAAGACTGCTCGTGTGTCTCTTTCTGCATTGTGTTCTGAACACCCTGCTAGCTTCAAAAGGCCACCCACGCCTTGCGCCTGCTGCTGTCCCAGGTCCTCGACCACGTTTTTTGCGGTTCTCACCGCAGACGCACAGCTGGCCTCAGCGAGTCAAGCAACATAATCGATTCCAGAAGTCGCTTCACTGGTTTGCTGCTGAACGAATGCAACAACGAACAAGTGCGAAATCGGAGTCTTTTTGGGTTTAGAGACGCTTACGAACACAGGCCCATAGCGAATTTTTTGGTGCTCCCCAAGCCCCTTCGAGCACTGCCTGTGAAACCAGGTATATACACGTGGTTGGCGCCACCTGAACAAGTGCATGATTGCAAGTGCTACATTCAGGGCCTCCTGTGAGGAGGATACTTGAAAGATCTGTACACGACATATGTCATATAATGGTCGTCTGGTCCACAAGACGGAACTCGCGTCGTCTCCCCACCAGCCTGCACGTTTCTGCAGCCCTCTCTTCCTTGGCTGTCCGGAAAGCGAAAAATCTAGCCACCTGCCCAAAACCATTACGAGATCGACACCACAAAAAGTTTTGCAACTTCGTTGCGAGCCACTTTGATATTTCTCGATCAAAGCTGCTTCGAGCATGGCAGGACTGAAGGGCTCCTTAGCGATGTAAAGAATATCCATATTCGTCCATTTATCAATACTGCGCGCGTAGCCATACAGATCGTTTGCCCACCGCCAGGCTGCATCATGCGTCCAGCCGATTTTGAAAATCAGCGGACTATGCTTGTCGAACAAGCGACTCAACTCATCCAAGCAATGTTTCAAAGCTTTACCGGCGAGTGAACCGAAAGGAGGAAGCTTGAAAGCAATGCAGCCGATACTCTCGCATCGCGAATGGATCTCGGAAAGTGTCGCTGAATCCTCGAGGTAAGATTGAAGAACTGCTTTGGGATGTTGTCGTCGCAATGAAATTGAACACGAGCTTTTTGACGATGGTTGGAATGGTCTCTTCAGGGCAATAGACTTGGAAGCATCCACAATAACCGCCTCCGTGCAAGTACTCGATTTGTGCTCAGAGTTTCTGGCTGACCACGGAAACGGAAGTACGGTGTCCTAACTTGCTCGTTATTTCGTGGCAAAAACTTATCCTACATATGGTCTGTTCAGTACAAGAAGTTCACTGCAGCAATTAAAGAATATAGATGTTCCAACGGTAGAAACTGATACTATATATATTTGTTCAAGAGTCATCACGGTGGCACGACAATAATTCCATAAGCTCATCTTCGGGACTTTCAGTCTCAGCAGGAGCGACCATTGCTGCTTTGAGTGTACTACAGTAAACTACAGGATTTGGTGAGAAATTGGAGTGATTCTGATTGCTGCCAAGGCCGATGCTTGCTCACACCGAAACGAGTAAAAACATGAAGTCGTGACACATCCAACATAAAGAACAGTCAGTCTCCTAAAACCTTAATTTCCCTAAGACCCCATATATATTTCATCTATTTATTTATAAGCCCCGCAATTCCTAGGATCCTTTAAGTCTTTGCTGCGTTGAGCCAGGACTCCCAGTGCTACATATACACATCCCATCATTCGAGCAGTCTTGAGCCACATGAGGAAAGTTAGGAAGCTCACGGACCGAATCTAAACCCTAACTTCCTCAAACTTGAAGCTCGGCACCACACTCCTGCCCCAATGTCGCGGGAGAGCCCTCTGACGAAGCTGCCGGGTTTTCCACCTGGCTGAGAGATGCTTGCTTTGCAATTGTGTGGTTGTCAGCTTTGCAATCGGAATTGTGTATTGACAAGCAATCTTTTTGTGGACTGCCCCTAGTCGCTGCTCGGAACACGATTGGTGCTTCTGCGGCGGATCCACAGAGCACATCATGCTAGCTCTTTACGATTCTAGCATACTACGAAACCCGCGACAGCTCGAAGATGCAACATAATTTAGTTTAGTTCGATATCCTATGGCAATGCCAAGACTAAGAGGCTTCTGAATCAACAGCAATCTAATAGTGCGGCATGCGGCAGCGAGCTGTCAATGCCCACTGACATGGATTGAAGCCGCAGGTTCTGCCCGCAAGCCCCCATGTCACCCGAAAAGAAACCTTTAGGATCTAGGAGCGGCGGTTCTTGGCCTTGGCTTTGGCTCCGGCTTTGGGTGCAGCTTTGGATGCCTCTTCCACTGGGGCGGGTGGGGC